ATGAGTACATTACAATAATTTTATGTAACGGATACCAAAATTAGGATAATGTAGAAGTAATTGAATTGACAGTGGTTTTTTTTATAATGCTGTATAAGTAATGAGAGGGTTAAGAGGTGCAGATCTGGGAATAGATGGTGAGATAAAACATTTGTATTATGTTTCAAATGTTGAAATACAAGTTTTTAAGGAAATAAAGAGAAACAAGAATGTCACAAGACAAGAAAGAGTTTCTAGACTTTCTGGTGGCAGGTGTCTATGTTTAGAAATAAGAGGACAGTTTTCCCCCCTTGTCTCTTTCAAATAAAGTGTTCACAGTGTGTCACAATGAGCAGCAGATATTTCTCTTCCATTTTAGTTTGAGCCGTACATTACTGGTGACCACTAAAATTTGCATATTTGACATGAGAAAACAGTACTGGCCTTACGTCTGAATCAGATAAAAAAATGTCACATTCTAAATCATGCAAAACCTTGTTGTGACTCTTCAGGAGTATTCAGCCCTAGGGACTAAAACCTGAAGTTGGAAAAAAAACCCAACATTTTTTTCCTGTTTCTGAAGCAATAGTGTCTTCAAAGATCAAGTTGGAAGCAGGCATCATCTGTGACACGGGACTTTCAGAGGATGAATGGGCAGACAGGCACCTCGAGAAATCAGTCAGGACAGATATAAGAGGCTGTCTTTTGTAACTGAGTTTTGTGTGTGTGTGTACACACACACACATATAAATTAAGTTGAGAAGAAAAGGTAAACTTGTTTTGCTTGTTGGTAGCAGGCAGGGGCTCCAGGGGCAAATTCACATGTGGGTTACATTGGTTGTTTTCAAACCAGATCAACAAAGCAGAGCTGTTCATTCATTAAGAGTATGGGCACCTCTATTGTCTCCGTAGAAAATATATTTTGGTTAAAGAGTTTATTATTAATCCACTTGTGTAGTTCATTTTCTTCTCTCCTTTATATAGACTGTTAAAAGGGTCCAGATCTTTCTATTTATTTATTTCGTTTATACCCTGCTCATCTCCCAATATGGAAACCAAAGGGGCTTACTATTGTAAATTAAAGCGTAACTTCAACAGTTTGTATATATATATAATACAAATGTTACATATATAAAAAGGCAAACAAATTAAAACACTTAAACATATTCAAATTTATAGTAAATATAAAAATACAATCCACTCTATTTAAATAGCATTTGTTCCTGCCAATTAAGGGTTGAAATCCTATTTAAATATGAGACCAGAGAGGAGCCAAGGTAGCCTCCCTTGAGAGGGAATTTGATATCCCAGGAGCTGCCAGTGAGAAGGCTCCTTTCCATGTCTCACCAAAGGGGCTGTGAGGATGATGGAGTGGAAAGAAAGGCCTCCTCCTAAGACAGATTTAAGCAGGCTCATGTGGGAGGAGTCTTCCAGGTAGTCTTGACCTAAGCTGTGTACAGCTTTATATATCAGTTCAGGTATACCTTAGCTAACAGTAGGTGTATTCCTGGATATTAACAGAAACCTTGGTACCAAATGCAAAAATAATATGGAAATAATAATAGGGAGAGGTTCCTACACCACAAAAGAGAAGGATGGTTCAACTGGTTTCAGCAAGCTTTTTATGCAAAACATACTAAAGGCACATATGAAATTAAAGAACCAGCCCAACCTTGAGAAAGTAGAGTACAAATAAATATAACAAGTACCGTAGTAATGGTGATGGCAGTCATAAACCTTGCATAAGGAAACAAAAACATTTTCAGCCTTCTAGAGGCCACTTGAAAGTTTCTTGTAAATTACATCACTGGACAATTGTAGGCAAGCACACACAACCATGGATAGAATAAAAGTCCGCTTGAAAATTTTGTGTTTCTACAACCTTCCTTCATACGCATTTAACCAGTTCTGTCAAAAGCCTTCCAGTTAAATGGCAGATGGGGGAAAGGGAAAATCTGTGCTCTAATAATAATAAGAATTATTATTATTATTATTATTATTACTTTGTGTCAGGAGTGACTTGAGAAACTGCAAGTTGATTCTGGTGTAAGAGAATTGGCCATCTGCAAGGACGTTGCCCAGGGGACGTCCAGATGTTTTGATGTTTTATCATCCTTGTGGGACGCTTCTCTCATGTCCCGCAGGAGGAACTGGAGCTGATTGAGGAGCGAATCCACTATCTCCCTGGATTCAAACCTCCTACCTGTTGGTCTTTAGTCCTACTGACACAGGGGTTTAACCCACTGTGCCACCGGGGGCTCCTATATGATGATGATGATGATAAATTATGGAAAGTTGGCAAGGCAGTTGTCTGTTCTCCCTCTTTTGCATTACATATATGCATTGTAAAGGATTCTGAAGGGAGCTGATGTCTACATTCCTCTTGTAGCTAGGTAAGCACATCTATGGTAGTATTAAATAGAATAAAAATCTACTAGAAAAATATGTTTTTCTCTTGCCCTCCTTCTTTGGTGTTCAGACAGTGCTGCAGAAAACCTCCCAGTAGATGGCAAATGAGAAGAAAAAGGGACTGTAAGATGTTGTAAAAGGGACCTTCTTTCTCAGAGGCTTTGTTAACTGAGGTATTCCTGTACTTTGAAATACAACCAGAAAGAGACCAGTAGCTAGTAAAGCCATTTCAACAAGGGTTCTGTATTGCCTACTAGTCCAGGTCAGCTGTCTAGCTGCAGCATTTTGTATTAGCTGAAGTTTCTGGTGTTTAAAGGTAGCATAATGTAGAGTGTGTTACAGTAAGACAATGGAATGTAATTGAGGGACATGTTATCTTAGCAAGATCTAATATCTCCATGAATGAGTACAGAGTTCACCTGCTCGGAGGTTATTATAGGTCACATCTGCTCACATCCACAATGTAGTTTATTCCTCTTTATGTGTTCCAGAATCTTGCCCGTAATGACTTCTCAAACAGGCCAAAGGAGGGATGAGAGAGTGAGTGAAGGAGGTAATCAGTGCCTCCTTACAACAAGGCAGAGGTCTAACTTGCCTAAAGGAAGCAGCCGTGACCTGTGTTTAAAACAATCCCTTCTATAATAGGGAATTATCGACCAGTGCCTAACTTTCCATTTTTTGTGCATGGCATGTGGTAGCCTTCCAACTCCAAGGGTTCTCGATGAAATGGATTATCTAGGTTCATTTCAATCTCAATATCGTTTCAGCCTTGGTACTCAGAGACTTGGATGCGGGTGGCACTGGTTCTGCTGAACCTCTCAGCAGCTTCTGATATTATCAATCATGATATCCTTCTGGCTCACCTCTCTGGGATGGGACATGGGGCACTGTTCTGCATTAGGCTCATTCCTTCTTGAAGGGGTGAAACCAGAAGATGAGGGACTTCCATTCAACTCCCTACCTCTTGTTTGTCTGTAGGGCCCTCAGGACTTTGTTTTGTCCTCCAGGTTATTTAATATCTACCTCAAACTGATGGGCAAGGTCCCCCAACTCTACTACTCCTTTCCATCTTAAGCTAGGGAAGCTGTTCTGGTGCTAAACCAGTGTCTCATCCATAATGGATGATGAGAGCAAACAAAATGAAACATAATCCTGACAATACAGAGGTGCTTCTAATCTGTCAGAGAGTTGGGATTCAGCCTATGTTACAGAAGACACGGGTTTGCAGTTTGGCTGTACTGGGGTCAACTTTAAACCTGAAGGTTCAAGTTTCTGCAGTGGATAGGAGTACATGTTTAAAGTTCATGTGCCAACAGCACCTATTCTTTGAGACGCTAGATCTAGCCATGGTGGTATTGTCAGCTCTCAATATTTGCTGGAGCTAGGGGCAAAGAACCCTCATGATAGTGAATAAGTTTGAATTAAAATTGCTGTATTATTAACTTAGAGAATACATCTCTAGGAATTTCTAGGTCCTCCAACATGACTCTCCAGAGTAGGTTGTACAGGAGGACCTACTCAATCACAACATATCTAGATAATCTGTGTCATCCAAAAATATCTTAAATTTGTAGGGAATCCGATTCTAGAACCTTGTCCCAAAAGGTGCATCAAAAGACTGGCTAGTAGAACTGGATGGGTTTAGTAAACGCCTCCCTGCAGCTTTTTAGGTAGAGTGATACCTTATCTTGCTGCAGCGAGACATACACTTGGCCAGTTTCTCTCTGGCTACCTTTCCAAGCCTGGAAGAGCATGGATTCAACACCCAGGATCCTTTCTAAGAATCTTATCAGCATTCATAGATTGCACAAGTTGAAACCTATCCAATAACAGAGAACAAGTGGCTACCAAAGGTACAGCCACTGGAAAAGTATCAATTACAGCATCCAAATCAGAAAAATATTTTGTCTGTAAAGTATCTTGCCAATTATTCATAGCAGTCTGTTGAGAAGTTTGCATTCTGTTGTTATGAGGCTGATTGTAGAAGGCCCATAACTATTCTAGACAGTTCTGCTGGATTCAGTGATGGCAAAGGACTACGATTCTTCTGTACCACCATTGCAACAGATTAATCTTCAAACAGACTGTAATTTGTATTTGGTCAGATTCTGAATTTTTCTGCTATCAGTGCTCTAGTGCCCATCCCACTTGTTTCATCACAGCCATCTTTCTAGTAAACCAGGAATCTTGTTAGATCTATGGGAGGGAATGTAGGGCAGTCATCTCTACCACTTAACCATTCTTCCATTCCAGAGATCAAACAGGATGTCAACAGGGGTCACCCGCCCTGTCAACAGGAAACTCTCCAAAGCCAACAGGAATCCATCAGGATCCACAAGGCTACTTCTACAGAGCATCTCAATCTTTCCTTTCCCCACTTCTGAAGAGATTCCAGTTCCAATGAAATTAAACCCCACCAAACATATATGCTTACTTGAAGTTAATTTTGTCCAGTAGGATACTCTGTAGTAAATCTATTCAGTCTGACAACTTCTCTCTCACGTCTGCCAACAGAAAGTAATAATTTATTGTGTTTTTGCTTAACCTTATGCACAGATTGCTGCAAGGAAATTTTCATTAATATATGTTTGGTTGATTTGTTCTCTTTTCAGCGTCTTTGAAGTTGAAAAGGGCCCTGCAAAACAGTTTGAATTGACAAGGTAATGGGCTCAGAGAACAGTGCTGTAAAACGTGATGCACTGGCAGGGCATCCATTTACATTTCCCTCCGGAGTCAATATTTACCCAGCAGTATTGTCTCATGGCAAACTTGCTTCTGTTTTTGTGTATAAGAGAGAGAATGAAGAAAATGTTAACAAAGCTGCCAAGGTACTGACTGGTTTTCAAAATTCTTACTTATATTATTATTAATTATTTAAATTTGTATACTTCTTGTGTAGAAATTTCAGGGTAGTTTACATTAAAAGAAATGTTGCATTTGGGGGGAGGGCACAGCTGATCCTTACTTGTGAAAGGGTTAAGCAAGGCACGTTGTTCTTGTTTATCACTGTCTGTTTTCTCAATTCCTGTAGATTAAGTGTTGAATCAATCTGAGAAAGCAATCCAGTTAATCCATAGTGCTTGGACCATAAACGGCCCATATGCTTTCAGATTTTGTTATTCAGAACAACTCAGAAATATCACTTCATAATTGTACTTGGTTTAAAATTTCCTATTCAGTTATCAACATTGAAAAAAGTGAATAGAGGAAGAAAGAAAAATTAAAATATTTTAAAAATCAAATTTTCAAGCCTGGTTTTCATATGTCAAAAAGTCTCGTAGTCAGTGGATTGGAATTATTTTGTATAATTGTTTTGCATAGTTGTGATTACATTTTTAAGTCTTTGCCCATATATTATTTCATTGATGTCTTTTCTTTACGAAAAATTATTCTGGGAAATAGAAGCATGATTGGGACAGATTGTTATTCCCTGAATTCCTGCATTGGGATACGTAGCTACAACAGTTCCCCTCCCCGAGGGATACATTAATAATAATCTTGATGTGGAATTATGTGCAATTGATCATGGAATGGCTTTAGACATTGAACTCTGAATGGCGTGTTTTCACCTTGAATGTATTATAATCATACTTATTATGTTGTAATTTTAATCCAAACCATTTTAGGTGAATTTTGTATGTTTTGAGGCACTGTGTAGGTGCCATTTGTAAGCCGCCTTGAATCCCTCACAGGGTAGAGAAAGGCGGGGTATAAATAAGGTAAATAAATAAATATTTGAAATCTAATTGTATCTCCCTAGATGTCCTGCCAAGAGGGGCAGGGATCAGGAAAACAGGTTGTCCTCCTAAATTGCCCCAGCAATTTGTCTATGTCAGCAGTACTCACCAATTCGATCTAGTTTAATCACACTCACAAAATTGCTGGACGCCCTAGTATCAACTTTGCTCCAATGATGGCATCTAAGCTGGCTCTTATGCAAGAGTTTTATCTGGAAATAGTCATTGCCAGGAGTGAACACATTTTTGCTCAGTTGAAGAGAGCTGTATGTGCCATCATTCAGTGCTCTCCTCTGTAGCACCTCTGAAATCATTCCGTGAAGGAGTTTGCCTCTCCTCAAATGTAGTTTTTCAGTGGCACTTTCAGTCCTTGCAATGGTGCAATGGCTCTAAAGTTGAATTTCAATAGTTGCGGTGTTGTTAGCCCAGGTTATGACATTGTAAATACTGAGCATCCTGCTCACCATAATTTAATGAAAAATCTGGACATTTTCATTTGAGTAGAATCAAGAACAACTGAGAGGAAATTGCTGACAAAAATAAGGAAAAAACATGAAAATTCTTAAGAAGTACATCATCTTGGTATACCTGAGAGTTCCTCCATTTTGAGGAAAACTTGACAGTTGAAGAATTTTACAGCTTGTATATCAGTTCATGAATGAGCTAGAGTAGAAGAAACTAGAAGTAATAAACCTAAATATTTTGAAGGATAATTCAGATTGTATAGCAACCATATGAAAATACCAAAGAACAAGCCTATTCACTATCGCTTTTTGCGAATATGTGTGTGATATATAAATAGATGTCTCATACTGAATGGTTTTATCTTGATTTTGGAAGCACCTGAAAACATTACGCCACCCTTGCCTCCTGCGCTTCCTTTCTTGTACTGTGGAAACAGATGGAATCCACCTCATTACTGAGCGTGTGCAACCACTGGAGAAGGTCTTGGAGACACTTTCGTCTTCAGAGATATGTGCTGGAATCTATGATATTCTGCAGGCCCTAGTGTTCCTTCATGACAGGGTGAGTATTATCCCTTTACATCTTGTCCTAGTTGCGAATGTTTAAGTTTCCCATTGGAGGAAGAGTTTCTTGTATGAAAATAGGCTTTGTCATTTTTGTTACCTTGATTTTACAGTGAGCTGGATATGTAAAATCAAATGTCTGAAGTTGGGTTTTTTTTTACTACTTCTGACATTAAGATGAAATTGAGTGACATAATGTGTATTCTAGTTGACAACAAAAATGCTAGTTACAAATGAAAAACGGGCAAGATGACATTTTTACATTTTGCTCTCATTATGTTTGTGATGGTAGATTTTTGATATAATAGTGGGACTGGCAGGGATGCTATAATTTGTTCCAAAAGTGGAATAAATTCTTCATCATCCACTTTATTCCTCACACAGTTGGATTTGAGCTATGTAGTTTTGATGGAAACGCCATCCTTCCAGCGCATGTTTCAAACTTTGCACCAGTTTACCCCCTTTTCAGTTTTTTAAATTGCCTAGGATAATTCACTCAAGAAATACCCTTAGTTCACTTGAGTTCATTAAGGGTATTTCTTGCCTGGCCAAAATCCCATCACCAGGTGGTCATTCTCAATGCATTTTTGACTGGGTCAAAAACCCATCAAAGCTGGTGATATTAAATATCTGGTTACAAATGTCTCACATAAATTGCACACTTGTAGGTGGAAGTTGGATAACAATTTAACTTGTGAAGCATTTGGATTGGTAATATGTTTTCATTGTTTAAAATTACTGCAGTGTCTTCAACCTATTTGCTTCGCAGATTTTTTTGTTCGTTTGTTGTGTGTTTATTTTCTTGACTTAAGGAAGTAGACCTTGAGTGAGCATAAAATGTTCTTTTTCCTCAAATACAATGTTTGGCAAAAACTGGATTATACTAGTTAAATGCGACCTGGCATCAAGTTCCTATAAGAGCTCCCTGGTGACATTGAGACTCTTTTGTGGTTTTTCACAGGTTTCCTTTGGAGTGTCTTGGCATTAATTAATATTAACAAGAGTTGTATCACTGCCATTATTCTCGTGCTAATGGACTATTTTTCCTTTATTTTTACAAATATATTTTAGGGAAACCTAACACACAACAATATCTGTCTGTCTTCTGTATTTGTAAGCGAGAATGGGCACTGGAAACTAGGAGGCATGGAAACAGTCTGCAATCAGAATGAAGCTACACCAGAGGTAAACAGCCCATTCCTTTTCAGGCCCAAGACAGAACTACTTCTGCTCTTTGCCAATACTTTCTACTCCACTGAGTTGTTTGAAAAATGTGATAGCTTAATACCCAGTCTTATTACCTTATTCCAAAACTAGATTATAGTTTTCATGAATACTGGAAATGGGACATAGTAATTGCCTATACACAAAACAGCAAATACTAGTAGTTCTTTCTGGCTGCATGACTTGTTCTTTTTGGATGCAGTAAAGTGTTACCTATCTCCTTGTCACACTTTTATTCTAGTCCTTTTGGTGCCCATATCTAGTTCTATAGAAGATAATTACTTTGACAAGTGTTTAACATTATAATCCCTTGAGTATGCTTAACAAGATCAGGCAAATTAGAAATTATTTCTTTATTATCATGGCACACTAGCAACTTTGTCTTTCAGCTTTGTAGCTATAATGAAGAACAGTGATATAGGTGTCAAGATGTGCAGCTGAACAAACTGCTTACAAGGGGGGGATGCAATTGCAGCAAAGTGTGTGTTTGAGAAAGTGTAACCGTGGAAAGACAAAGAAAAGATAGAAAGTATTTGTGATGTCGAGGGACTATTTCTCATAAAATTGCACCTGTAGAAGGGAAATGATTGTCATCATTCATGATTAGATTCCTCCTTGGAATTAATAAACAAATCTCTACTAGAAAGAAAGTGCATCCTATGGCACTGTCCAGTCCACTTCCCTCCACACATCAGTTCCTCCCAACTAGCACAATACTCCATGGAGCGATTTTCTTCTATATTGAAGTCTTAAAGGGATGCTAGTTCTTAAAGCTCCAAAGAAGTCCATGGTTTTTAGAGCACATTTTGAAAAGCACTCTTGTAGGCTGTACCCCGGATTTTACAGAGTAGTTATACTTTCTTGAAAGGAGGAAGGGTGAGAGAGGAGTCTTTGGTATTCAGAAGTGCAACAAGAGTAATACAAGTGGCAAGCATAAACACATGACTATTTCTGTCATTGTTGTACTTCATACATTATTGGTCTTTAGGCTTCCAAGAGCTAAAACACTTTTCCTGTTGTAGTTTTTGAATAGCATCAAGTCAATACGAGAGAAGACAGGCATTCCACCTGAAGAACTGGTAGGTTTTATCCATTATGTGTATTGGAGAAGTAGGAAAAAAACAGTTTATATATGTATGTGTTTTAACCCACATCAGATGTGAAGGATATGAACTGCATTAAGCTGTTATAGGAAGTGCTAAGGTGAAATGACAATTCTATTTTGTATGTGAGAATGGCATGTAGAGAAAATTGAGATCATTTCAATGCATTTTTCAAGCATGTTGTCTCTGGATTTGTCTGCAAATAATTTAATTGGTGTTCCAACCTTGGTGGTGCCAAAATCCCAGGTTACCTTTCACAGACAAGCAGACAGATAGACAGATAGATAGATGCAAGTTTATTTACTTAAATTTTTATATTTCCCCTTTCTTTTCCAAGGCCAGAGCTTCTCAAAGATGGTAATAACACCCAAATAATAATGCATAGAATCAGGCAGAATAGAACAATCCATTGAAATTTGCCTGGCCTGAAAATTATTCCATGTGTCCAAAAGACAAGTTTGGAAACCCAACACAGTTAATTTTAGCCAGTATGGAGAGTTACAGGAATGGATTAGGGAAAGAAAATTCTTATATAAAAGTTTAGAATTCATAATTCTGATTTCTAGGTTTCTTCCCCTCCGCCCCAAATGATATTTGCTATTGTGTTTGATATGTTTTGTAGTGTTATCATTTATTGTTTTTAACCTTTTAAAGCCATCTTCAAGGTTTTAATTAAAGTGATGGCATAAGTATTATAAATACAATCTGTGTATTAAAGATGAAGCTGAAGTGTTTTGGAAAATGATTAAACCAATGCTGCTATTTGATCCTTTTTCTATTACTCCAGTGTGCAGATTTCCAACTTCTTCCTAAGGCCCAGGGTCATTCCCGGGATGCCTACGCATTTGGTGTAATGGTTGAAAGCCTGATGACTTTTTTGAAGGAAGGCGGTAAGAATTATTTGAAACAAAATTGCTTCATTTCAAAGAACATGAAGTTTTCTCTTGACAACATTCAGAATATAAAGAAGGAAGTACTTCTTCAAAACTTAGGTTACAATTAAGCTACAGGAACCTACTAGCATAAACTTGGTTGCCAAACTTCAGTGGTTTTAAAAGAAGATCAAATCTTGTTTGTGGGATTGCACAGCCATTTTGTCGGTCTTTTCCTTGTAGGATTTTTATTCCGGAAGAACAGAGTGTTTCTTCCTTCAAAAATTAATCATGTAGAACCAATTTCGAGGATAAAATACTGAGTTTTAATGGATAGTACTGAGGTTATAGGTAATTTATCCGGTTCTTCTGCTAGGAATTCTGCTGAGCAAAAGCTGTCTTTAGTATAAAAACTGGCCAGTAGTGAGTGCTGTAGTTCATTGTTTAAGATGGTATTTGTCAGTCTGCATGAATTGTAGTGGTTATTTCTTACTAGGAAGGGTGGAACATTGTAATGGGCCTAAGTTACTAATCTAACAAAGCACATGATTTCACACTGAATTCTTTGAGGGAACAACTCTGTCCTAAAAATGTGTTTGCTGTTTGGCACGGGACACAGATCTGCATTTGGTTCGGGACACAAATGCATTTTTACAAGTTGCATCTTTCTTTTGTAAAGAAGATCTTCCCATAATTGGAAAGAATTGGAGCTGATACTACTGCTTAGTCTTGTTTCTTAGAATCATAGAGTTGGGCCTAACAGATTTAATTCCAAAATTGTGTCTTTCAGTTGCAGATGATGTTTTGGTCAGCTTTCAAGAGACCTTACACACCACTTTGCTAAATCCTGATCCGATGTGCCGCTGCCCATTGTCTAGTCTATTATCCCATGAATTTTTTCGGTGAGCATACTGTTGGAATATATTCTAACTGATGGTCTTGAAGAAAAATGTCAAGGACTTTTAGTGTTCCAGGATTCTATTTACTAATATTTTTCACACCCAGCAATCACAGTTGCATAAACAGCCCTATCCTCTGGTCAACAAAGTATGCTTTCCAATTGTGATTTCAATTGATATTACAAGGAAAAAATTCATAATGTTCTAACTGTAACTGTGCAGATAACGGAATCATTGCAATAACGAGTTTTATTAGTATGCACCTGCTCCTTGTTCTGGAGTCTCAGAGCAGGTAGCGCATTTCTCTTCTACAAATAAAGTGATCAGTGTACAAATGAAAATTTATTGAAAGATGTCTAAAATGGTGATGCTGAGTTTTGATCCATGGCAACATCTAGGAAAAGAAAGTTCCAAATGTATCACCCATAATTGTGAGTATGAGCATGTGCAGAGACAACTAAGAAGTCTGGTCTGACTGTGTAGAAATAAGAGTACATACAGGACATTCTGGCTATGTTGGAACCAATCTATTTAAGACTATTAATTCCTGGGAGAATGTGTGTCTACAACATGGAGTCCAAGTCAAGATGTGTATTTCAATGGCGATATGCCATGGGTGCCTAAATATTCTGAACACACTATAACCCATCTAATCCTGGAGGCTAATCAGAGTCAGCACTGGTTAATACTTGGATGAGAGATTGCCACTGAATACCAGATGCTGTAGGGCAGGCTACATTTCAGTGGAGGGAACCAACAAAACTATCTCTGGGTATTCCTTGCCTAAGAAAACCCAATGAAATTGATGAGGTCACTATAAGTCAACAGAAGACTTGAAGATATACAAATGTCATATTCTGGCATTTCTGATTTCAACAAGCGTTACTCCACTTGAGGTTTGCTTTTTGTTTGTTAATCTTAGGTGCTTATGACTTTAAGTTGTAAGCACTAAATCAATAAGTCCTTTTTAAAATTTCAGGAATGAATTTCTGGAAATGTTAAGCTTTCTGAACAGTTTGACATTGAAAACAGAGGAAGAAAAGACAGAATTTTTCAAGTAAGTAAAAACGTTGACTGTTAATTAATTGCTGTTAGTATATCTCTGCTTTCTCCTCGAAGCCTTGCTTCCCAATAGATGAAAGGAGGAAGACTTCTTCACAGATAAGCTAGTGACATCAAGTTTCATGGTGTTCTGTGTTGTTCATTACACTATGTAACAAAATTTGAAAAATGATCTGTTCCTCATTTGAAAGTGTTATTTCCTGTTTAATTGTGCGGTACTTACTGTGAAAGTAATTGTTATACTAGTTTTTGTGGCTGCCCACAAATTATGTTGAATTGGTTAAAACTGTGAGATATTCATTGAAAAACTAGAACAAAATGTGCTGCAGAATGTTTTTGTAATTTAATAAACCTTCCCCATTACAACAGCAAAACAACAGAGAGGAAACAAACAAGGACATCTAATCACCTCTCAACAAAAGATTGCCCCAGGCACTGCCAGGCCATCAAATGCTAATCAAGGTGGTCAGTTGAAACATTCACACCTAGCTCCAACAGACAAGAGTTCTTTGTCCCACCCTGGTCCTTCCACAGATATTTAAACCCTTTTTCCTAGTTCCAACAGACCTCACTACCTCTGAGGACGCTTGCCATAGATGCAGGCGAAATGTCAGGAGAGAATGCCTCTAGAACATGGCCATATAGCCCGAAATAACCTACAACAACCCAGTGATTCCGGCCATGAAAGCCTTCGACAATACAACTTTCCCCATGTTTTTATGATAGAACCAATTAGGAAATGACATTTATAATCCAGGAACAAAAATCATGTTACATAGGCCCACTGAAATAGGTAGAGGCGCTGCTCTTCCTCCTTGAAACCCATCCTTCTCATTTAGTTGCTTTGTCTTTTCCCCTCTCTTTACTGCTTGCAAATGGGGCTCAAATGTAGAGATTAAACTATGTATGGTCAGCTCTCAGTTTTCCCAAGGGTTAGCAATGCAGGATCTCCAGGAAAGTAGAAAAATGACGAATATTTTGAGCCCCACAAATATGCTTACAGCAATCTCCACCTTGCCCCTAAGCCGTCTCCATTTCACCTCCTAGGATAATGCCATTACTGCAAAAGTCTTCTGTAGTGTCATCATCCTTTTCATCTTCTTCCTGCTCCTATCAATTTCTGATATCAGAGCTCTTGTTTCCCACCATAAAATGATGCCTTCACCTCACTCACAGGCTATCACTTCCATCACTCATCTTCACTACCACTTCCACTTTTCCCCTCCCTGATTTGGGAGGGGAAAAGTGAAAATGGAGTATTTTTGTAGTCAATTTTCTCATGGGGGCACCCCACACATTGCGCACTGGCTGTGTTGTTCAGAAAGGCATGGAAAGAGAGCATGCAAGTACAGATGTCCAGACAGGGGCCCTAACAGTGACAGGCTGCTACTGGGTTGCAACCCACTCCCAAGATTTATTTGATGACATAAAATACCTTTGCCCTTCACCCAGCTGGCCTTCCCTTTCTAGACCTTTAGAGTTGTAGCAGAAAGACCAGACCTATGTCAGCCCGAGTTTCATCTTACTGAGCTATTTTTCTATTGCTGCTCCTCACTTGTCCAGAAGAGAAATGAGGCCACTGAGGAGAACTTGACTGACTGCTGAGCATGGAGGGAGAGGAAAAAGGAAGCCTCTCCCAGGAGTGAAAAAGGCACTGGCATTGAGCCTCCTCATTTCTATTTCAACTTCCACAGGCACCAGTGTAGCACCTCTGCCACTATAGATAGGGGATTGAGTCAGTCCATTCCCCTTTTCATATGATCACTAGGTATGTTAAAAGGGTAAAGATGTCTACAATGGGAACAAGTTATATACCCAGAGAATTTGAACCATAGAAGAACATATTGGAAAAGGGGGGTTTTGTTGTTCATTCGTTCAGTCGTCTCCGACTCTTCGTGACCTCATGGACCAGCCCACGCCAGAGCTCCCTGTCGGCCGTTACCACCCCCAGCTCCCTCAAGGTCAGTCCAGTCACTTCAAGGATGCCATCCATCCATCTTGCCCTTGGTCGGCCCCTCTTCCTTTTGCCTTCCACTTTCCCCAGCATAATTGTCTTCTCTAGACTTTCCTGTCTCCTCATGATGTGGCCAAAGTACTTCAACTTTGTCTCTACTATCCTTCCCTCCAGTGAGCAGTCGGGCTTTATTTCCTGGAGGATGGACTGGTTGGATCTTCTCGCAGTCCAAGGCACTCTCAGAACTTTCCTCCAACACCACAGCTCAAAAGCATCGATCTTCCTTCGCTCAGCCTTCCCTAAGGGGGGGTATATAAATGTAAAAAAAAAAAATCTATTAAGTGCATGCAAGGAAGAGATAGAGGAGACTGAATAGTTTCTCTTCTAACACAGATTTCTGCTGGACAGAGTATGTGGCTTGTCAGAGGAGCTGATTGCTTTGAGGTTGGTACCTCTCTTGCTCAATCAGCTTGTGTTTGCTGAACCAGTAGCTGTCAGGAGTTTTCTTCCTCATATCCTGAGTCCAAGAAAAGGTAAACTTTGAATATTATTTCTTATGAATAAGCAGAAATGTATTAACTGTGGATATGAATTGTTGGGGATTGAGGCTGGCTCCTGAAGAACTTCATACAATTCAACAGGTAAATAGTTTAATGAATGGAATGCTTAGGTACGATATAAACAAAACTCATTGAGTTCATATTAGCAGTTTACAACATTTTATATTACTGTGCAAATGGTTTTTAAAACATACTTTTTGTTTTAAAAAATCAACTGTTTAGACAAATGGATGATAATCTTTTGTCTGTAAATATGCATATTGTATCACCTTGTGTGTTACATATGTTATGCAACATGTTACATTAGAAGCATAATTCTTCTTCTTTAGAGATTCGAGTTATAGAAGAATAACAATGGTTCCTCTTCATCCCGGAGAGAGGTGATTAGTGGAAAGCCACAGCGTTCTATACTGGGATCCGTTCTGTTCACCATCTTTAACAATTATATAGAAGACAGAATAGAGGGCATTTATGATCAAATTTGGAAATATCAGCAACTTAGGAAGGGTAGCTAATACCTCGGAGAACGGGGTCATGATTCAAAATGACCATAACAGTTTGGGGGAAACCATCTGAATTTCAATAACCACTGAGGCAAAGAAAATGGAGAGATATAGGATGAGTAACACCCATCATCCAATATATATTGTGTTACAAGCAAGTAGACAGCTACACAGATATAATATAGTAATGGTGTGCATAAAATATGGTATTCCCTAAAAGGTATAGCAGGGCTTAACATTAAGATCCTGACAATTGCCCTCATGGTCTCCTTCAACTCTATGATTCTTACCTAATGTGCTTCATTGAGCTTTGCCTCATATAGACAGGAAAAGGTGTCATACTCCACCTTCTTCCTGTCTTCCTTCAGGCATCAAATATCTGTGTCTCTTGTTTTCACATTTGGCCTATTTTTAAACACTGAAAAGGGCAATGAGCTGCTATAGAGGACTTCTGGTTGCATAAGCTTCTAGTACAGGTGAATTACAGGAAAGGGAACCACATACAAATACGAAAATGGAGCTTTTGTGATTGCAGAGATATTGAAAAATCTGTGGCTGTAATTCCATATTGCTAGTTTCAACTGGCACCATATTCACTCTTTCACTTCAGATAAAGTGGGTGAAAGCCAAATCAATGGCCTGCTGTCTCCAGCTGTGTTCCAAGCACATGTCAGCCCTGTGCTCCTGAAACTGTTTGAAGTGCATGAAGAGCATGTTCGGATAGTATTGCTATCTCACCTAGATGCCTATGCAGAGCTGTTTACTCAGAAAGAGCTGAAAAATATCATATTGCCACAGGTAAATATGCAGAACAGGAATCAGGAAATAGTTTACCTAGAACATAGTGGCTTCTGCTTGGGGGCACTTAAAGGGTGTGCAGTCATAGAATCCTGGCACAGATCACTTCTGTTTCTATTTCTGAGCACAAAAATAGTTTTTCTAAGTTCTGTTGAACATTTTAAGTCCTGGCCTAATTCATTTTTGCTAGTTATGTGCGGTGCATACTTTTCTTCTACAGTCTCTGCTTTGGAGTTTCAGATCTCTGCAGTCTGGGAATCAAATGCTTATTTGCTTTTCACATAGATTTACTTTAGATCCTGCCCTCCAAATGCTTGTATCTCAGGGTTCAGAATCCACCCCAAATACACGTCTACTGTCCATTTAGTAGACCTGCTTTGTAAAGTCAGGGTATTTAAGATTATTAGATTGCACACACTACTGTGGATTTAGGAAAATGTATTTTGAATGATACAAGAGCTTTTCTCAAAATAGTCAGGATGTTAAGAAAGGAACAACAAGCATCTTTAGCAAAGGCAATGTCTTAGCTAAATGTGGGTGGAAACCAAACTGAGCTTGACAGCCTATCCTTATTCTAGGTTTTATTGGGGCTGCGAGATACCAGTGACTCACTGGTAGCGATAACTCTGCAAAGCTTAGGAGTGCTGGTCTCTCTACTTGGACCTGATGTTGTTGTGGGAGGTGACAGGACAAAGATCTTCAAACGGTCAGCACCAAGTTTCACTAAGACCTCGGACCTTTCCACAGGAGGTAAGTAAATATGGCAGGTTTAGAGCCCTTTTAAAAGCCAAATTAGGGTGAGGGTAACTCTGCTGGTTGAACTGGAACAGTCAATTTAGTTAGGATTGCATACTTGTTTTGGGGGTTGGGGTTTTATTTTATTTATTCATTCATTTATTTATTTATTTGATATGATATTTATACTGCAATGATACTGTAAAAACGAAAACACCAGAGACAACAGTTTATTCTGGTAGGAATAATTAGAAATGCTGAATCATTGTACTCAAAAGGTTTCCTGTTGGGGCTGGGAAGTTGTTTACATCATTTTTAGCAAAGGAAAGGAAAGATTTTCTAGTTATATAACTTGAAATGCATTAGTATGGTGGACTCCCATTTTACTGCAACAAAATATGATTGCAGTTGTGTTCAACTGGATGAACTTGCTGAAACATTCAAGAATTGGCATTATCTGTTTCTGAAAAATATTCCCAGGTTTCTGTCTACTTGTTTTGATGATAGCATATATTTACACGCACGTGGATACATGTTGATATGGTCATGATAATAACATGAATTTGGTAAGTTAGATTCTGATATATCTTCATGATTAATTAGCAATAGGACAAATAGCAAGGAGAAAGTCTGGAATGGTCCTGGTTGTGATAAAGTGATAGCATGGTGTACTGGTTTGCATGTTGGACTCTGCCCTAGAAACCCATTGGGTGTATTTGGGCAGGTTGCACTCTCTCAGCTTCAGAGGAAGGCAACAGAGAGCTGCCTCTGAACAAATTTTGCCAAGAAACCCCCTGATATGTTCATCTTAGGGTCACCACAAGTCATAACCAGGTTGAAGACACACAATGACGACAGTAGTCACCATGGGAGATGTAGGCCAAGATCCTATCAGGCAGGCTATAACATTTCCCCTGCAGATTACTGTGTGCTCTTTCCAGCCTTGCACAAATATGAAAAAAAATCTTGCCATGTTTTCCCCTTGCTTATTTTGGTTTTGTTGCTCTAATACAGTGGTTCTCTACCTGTGGTCCCCAGATGTTTTGGCCTTCAACTCCCAGAAATCCTAACAGCTAGTAAACTGGTTGGGATTTCTGGGAGTTGTAGGCCAAAACACCTGGGAACCCACAGGCTGGGAATCGCAGTATTGAAGTAAAGTAAAAAGTGGAATAAAATGCTGAATTCCACTCAGCAATACTCAATCTATTCAGGTAGGCTGGTCTTATTAAAGTGTGCCAAATGATGCTTTTCAGGTCTATAAACAATGCATGAAGTCAGAATGGTAGTTATGTACCAGAGCTACAATTCAAGAGAAAAGTTGTTATCTTCCAAATGCTACAGTATTTGATTAATCCTCCATAAACTTTATACGACCGTACTTTTTCCCCGCATGTTGAGTCATTAGCTGTAACAAAGATTATATGAATGAAACATTGGTTTCAAAAATGGCTACAGATGCAAATGCTATTGTTCTATCTACCTGTGTGTGTGTTTGTTTGCTCATGTGCCCCTTTAGATTCTCTCAATCATGTAATCAACTGCCAGAAAAAGCTGGTCTCTCAGCCTCTGCAGGATAACTCAAGCGTATTCCTCAAGTGCCCCAACTCTGGAAATCTTTCATTCAACAACAGGAATCATGTGCCAAGACAAAATGCTCACATTGCCTTAAGAAAAGGTAACCCTGGTCTTTTTCTTTCTTTCTTTCTTACAACAGCCCTTGCTGCTAAAAACCACCAGAAGATTTTGCTACAACTGCCGGTCCAGAGAAAAATCCAGCATCTGTAGCTCCTAACTTGGCTGCTTTAGAATGTGAACTGTGGACTGTCTTCTTCATGTCACTTTAAAGTTTCTTTTGAACTGGTTAGCTGAGGCTCATAGCAGCAGGGTGAATGTCAGGTTAGATGAATGTTGTTCTTACTCATTGGGCAATTTCTTGGCTTAGACGGTATTTTGATGTAGGAGCAGCAGTTTATGCATGCGTTCTTAAATTGTTTAAATACAGAGGATGAATGTCAGGTCTAAGATTTGAGGATACATTACAGGTCAAAGCAGGCATGTATTCTGTGTCTTCCACAGGAGAACAAGACTCTTTGCATTTATACAATATGCCTGGGGACTTACACACATTGAAGAATGGTGGAAGCTGCACGCATGTAGCTGAGAAGACAGTAGAGGAATGGCCAGACTGGAGTGAGTGCGAAGAGCTAGAGACTGGGAAAAGTGCAACCGTAGAAATCAAAAGGAACGAATTTTGTGTCAACAGCAACCCCAGTCTCACTAGTCACAATGCAGATGAGACATCTTGGAGTGAGACGGTTCATAGCCCTAACTTCAAATTGTCCTCAGGAAACGGTCTCCATGCAACAGGGTTCAGTAGCATCGCAGAGTCTCCAGATACATTTGAGCTCCAAAAGGAATATCGAACTCTCAATTCCAGTCCCTCTACTGGGCCTGGCAACGATACTTATATCCACAGGGACCAGAATTTCGAAATTTCCTCTCTGCTCAAAACATCCTGCACAGAGAGATCTCCCAAATGTGATTTAGGAGAGGAGTTTATGATCCAGGTGAAGAGGAAAGAGTTTCATGATCCAGAGCTGGACTGGTTTGCTGACATGGTCCCAGACATCAAACCTTCATCAACTTTCTTCATTCTACCAGAACTGGGGCCCCATCCTGTGATTCACAGCAACTTAGACAAAGATTACAGTCCTGTATGTGATACTCAGAAGATGCAGTTTTCTTTGAAATTTGCAGCTCCTGAAGTTTCAGAGGTGAGGATTTGAGAGAGCACACCTAAAGCGTGGGGATTCAATCCTGCATATTTTATATTGTTCCCTTCCAGGTGAGAAAGGCAGGATATAAAGTAAATAATAATAATAATAATAATAATAATGCCAACATGTTGCTACTGGAACAGCTTGATTAAGCAGCACACAGTGGCTAGTATCCTGTTAATGATATTGACATGCATTCTTTGCTGCAGATGTATTCTGCTGACAGCATAGGAATACTTGCACATACAGCAATGTTACACATTACACAAAGGCACCAAGTCTTTGATATGCACTATACAATGTTGCAACTCTGCTTGGGAATTACATAGTCCTGATGTGTACCTTTGTGTAGATATTTGTGATATGCTGAGAGGATGTCAGATTTCAACCATGAAATATATCCACAACAGATACACACAAAACAGTATCTAAGTATGTACTGTATATACAATATAAAACTGTTCAGAGTGTTTTCTAATAATTAACATGAGAACTAAACAGCACAATGACATGTTATTGAGTGGTTGTTTATGGGAAAGAAGCAATTATTTTGCCAGTACAGAAGTTGAGCATTAGAACAGCTAAATAGTGACATCTATATCTCTGTTACAAGGAGCTCAGAAGTTAAATGTGATTATTTCCAAGATGTTACTTCTGTGAGACACTACTCTGAACATTTTAGATTTATTTGTTCTTTGAAAACATTATTTTGAGTATCAATTGCTAAAAGTACGGGTGAATTATAAAGAACTCTGGAGGCCCAATGACTGCTTTGGGAAGTAGAGAGGATGGACAAAATGCAAAAAGATTGCTTACAGGCTGCTAGAACAAATAAGGAGCTTAGCTGTGCAACCGAGAATTAATCTAGTTTTTTATTTAATCCTTATTCTAGGTAAATGGTGTTGGCTGGGAAGAGCAGGAGGAACTGAAATGGGAAGATGATGCCAACTGGTGACAACTGAATCACTGAATAATATTACAATTGGATGCCACTTTGCACAACATTACGGGCAGCCTGCCCACAATTCCTTGCGAGCATTTAGTACTTTCACGGTACATTTGCCTTTCCACTCTATGAAGTTTTGGCCATAACTACTGCTGGGGCCTTCTGCCCATGGTTCTGAAAAAGGATCCTTGGAGAGAGGGAGATATGTAATTTTATTTTTTTTCCTCAACAAATAATGATTGTGGAAAACTTTAGGGAAAATAAATGGATACACATTCGTTTAATGTTTTTGTGGAATCTATTTTATGAAGAAAAAAAAACACTTCAGTGTACTTCTACACGATTAGAGGATTTTTCCGCAAGGCTGCTTGAACAGAGTGTGCACCTGTGTGCTAAGGCTGAGAGCAACGTCACAGTAAAGCAGCAAATCTTCATTAAGATGAATGATTTCATTTCTAGATGGAAAGCCCATAAATACCAGTTAATCCCATCTGACATATATCCTTCCTACAGGTAGTAAAGGATTCTGGGTGACAGCAATGAAAGTGAATTGACGTGTATTTTCGTCAATGGCCTGTTGCTTTGCTTAGCTTTTCATTCTGATTTTTCCATTTCACACCAGCAACCTGTATCAATAAACTGAACACATACAGCATTAAACCAGGAACTATCCATGCAGTTTGCCTTGCCAATTAGGCGTCTAGCTGTTCATCTTGTGTGGAGCTATGTTTAGCAATATAATACTGAAATCACTTTGAGATGAAGCATTAAATATATTCATATCCGCTCTTCAGTTGCTTAGTGTCATCTGTAATGCTTATACTTTTTGCAAGCCATGTGGGAGTCTGTCCCTTCTTTAGACGCAGCTTTACCGCTCCCGCTATCCTGTCAGCACCTCCCTAAGTGATAAGCATGTTCTTTTGAGGATGGCTACTGAATAGGAGTTCTGTACCAAGATCTTTCAGCAGAATGTTAATACATTTAAAATGAAACTAGTCAAAGCCATCAGAGCTTAAGTAATCCAGCCTGCTTTGCAATCTTGGTTCACAGGGACTAAATTTACAAGTTGGGTCTCTCAATGTCAAGTTGCAGTACTACGGGAAACTGTATCCTCCTAAGTTGTGTATTTTTAACCTTGCTTTCACACAGTTATTAGGTTAGTAGACTAAACAGTTGCTGAGATCTGTCACAGAATTAAAGAAACTGCTCTGATCCAAACACTGCAAATGCAAATTCAGGAAACAGAATATTGTATTAAGAAGAAATTGCCATATTTAAAATCCTTCTGGCCCTGCCCAAAAAGTCTTCTGCTAAGGTGGACTCTTAAATACTATAGGCCAAGATCCTATATTGAAAGACGGAGTGTAAAGTTCTATCTAGAAGGAATTACTAGCTCTCATAATCCTCAAAACTCGCCTGTCATTGCCTTGTTTTAGAGACTGGTAGAATGCATGGGACATAGGAAGAACATCCAGCTGTGTTCCTCTAGCCCAGTGGTTCCCAACCTTTGGTCCTCCAGGTATTTTGAACTTCAACTCCTACAGCTCCTAACAGCTGGTAAACTGGCTGGGATTTATGAAAGTTGAAGTCCAAAACGCCCGAAGGGCCAAAGGTTGGGAACCACTGCTCTAGCTGGATGCACAACAATGCATCCTCCATAACCCCTGTGTGTTCACAATGATGTGCATCTAATTGCAAAGCAAACCTGGATGTTACTCTGCCCCATGCTCTCTACCTACCACTAAATGGCTATGCGTTTCCAGTATTCGCTCTTCATTTACATAAGTTTATTTATAAGGGTGTTCTTCAGCTCAAACCAAACTTCTATGATATTCCAAATCTTAACAGGACGCAGGTGAAGCTATATTAATTTCCAAAGGTAAGTAAGTACCATAAAGGTCTATTATCAAGGGTGATGTCCAAAAAGTGATATACAGCAGAACTGTATCAGAATTATTCTTTGTAAATGTGTATGAGCAAAGAAAGAAAAGCCATATTGCCACTAGATCGAATTCTGCAATGAACAAGGTATATGAGAGAATATTTTGGACGATGTTCCTAGATTTGATAAAGACTGCTTAGTTGTAAATTCACTATGGCTGTTATTTTGTATGACTTGGCACACCTACACTAGTGGTAGAATGCTTTCACATATTTATTATACTGTAGAACCTATGGCCATTTTGTACATTGTAGGGAGCAGGCTGGATAGCAGAAGCAACATATTATTTGATTATGTAAGAAAGTTCATGATTTTTTTATCGTGTCAGAAGCGACTTGAGATAACTGCCAAGTCACTTCTGGTGTGAGAGATTTGGCTGTCTGCAGAGACATTGCCCAGGGAACACCATCCTGTGGGAGGCTTCTCTCATGCCCCCGCATGGGAAGTTGGAGCTGACAGATGGGAGCTCACCCCGTCTAGCAGATTCAAATCGCCGACCTTCAGGGTGTAACCCATTGCACCACCACAGCTCCCAGTTCATAATAAATTAAAATAACATTTAAATTGGTAGGAATGAAAATATATTCATTTCTTTAAATATGAATGGATTGGGTTAGTCATCACAAAAATATGGACTTCAGAAATTCATAAAGAACTCTGTGAAGATCAGATATTGTCTTTCTTCAAAATCATGTGAAGAAAGGGAATTAAAAAGGACTACAAGTTTATTTTTGGAGATTGGAATGGCCAGTCAAAAGGGATAGCCATATGATTTTCCAAATGTTGTAATTTTGAATGAATTTAATGTTTGAAAGACACAAAGGGAAGATTTGTGAAGGGTAAAAATAAAGGGGGTTATTGTAATGTTGGGGCCATATCATGCAGGAAATAATAACCAAATTTTATGGAGAACATTTTGAAAAAACTGAGAAAACTTGCTAAGGAATCCAAAATTATGGATGGACGCTAACTGTTTAATGGATAAGTGAGACAGTTCTGCTAGGTATAAAAAAGTCATAATGGGGGATGTAAAATAATTTTTCTCATAGGCAAAAACAGTTTAGTAGATGCTTAGAGGAACTACATCATAAAGAAAGAAATTATACCTTTTACTTTTGCCCCAGTTTCCAGTTTAGATCACTCCATGATAATAGTAAGATGGGGATCAGAAACAAAATGGATTATGAAAGGAACATGGAGGTCAAATAATGCACTGCTTTGAATAAGCAAGCAATGGAAAAACGAGACAAAATTAAAGACATTTTTAGTGGCATAATAAAGAATTTTGTAGCCCAGAACGTATCAGGGATACTATAAAGGCAATAATTAGATATTGTTTTATATTGGAGGGTTCAATACAAAAAAGAAGAAAAATAAATAAACAGAAGAGCTGGAGAAAAGAATTTATGGGCTTTTTGCTTTCAAATTCATGTGTGGTTTTATTTATTTATTTTGTTAAAATTATGATAAAATAAAGAAATTACGAAAAAAATATCCTTGGATATAATCTGGCCCTGGAGTCATGAATTCATTTAGAGTAGCCATGTATTCCTATGCTGCCTTTCAGCCTATTTTGTACTTTATTTCACCTTTTCTCTATATTGAGCACTTTTTTACCATTTGGGTGAAGGCCAGGACACAGAAAAGCTTGAATCGTTCCACCTTTTCTCTTAGCTTTATAATCTTCTCTATGCCGTGGCCCTGCCATTTCTTTTTCTTCCTTTTGCGACAAATATAATCAAAAGAATCCTTTTTACTGTTTTTAACCTTTTGGGTTTTTATTTATTTCGTGTCAAAAGCATTGCATAATTAAGTATAAAACTGATAAAAATAGAGGGATCACATGCAACTAAATAATTTTAGACCAAAAACTGGTAACAGCAACCTCATTGTCTGTAGCTTTAACTATTTTTCCTCTGTGCATGAGGCAGGGCATTGTGGATAAGCACACAGGTGCGGAATTATTTGTTCTGCTCCATAATCACACCTTTTGAGTAAGCAGAACTTAGCTTTTCTGGATTTCTGCCTACAAATATTGGCTATTTGCAGTGATTTCCCTCTTCCATTGACTCTTCTTCCACTGTCTCTTATTATATCTCAACTCATCTGAAAGTCCTTTGAATATCCACCCTGGGTATTTTAGCCACCTCCATTTTTAACGATAAATTATCTTTTCCTGATAAAATAGTGGAAAATATTAAGCTATTAGAATAAACCTTTATGATGAAATTCAGCATATTTGTTAATGCTAGCTTCCTAACCCAACTCCTATTCCAGTTTATCTACTGAAGCTTTGTACAAGACGAAGAATGTTTTACAAAACTTATAAATTGTGCATACACACATTCACATTCAAGTTTTTTTATTTATCATCAACACGATCACTCATTGTACTTTCTGAGATAATTAGAAATCAAGCATATATTGTGTTAAATGGAAGAGTAAATTGCTTTTGTACTTTACATTACAGAGCAGCAGTTCACTTCTTGTCATCTGACCAGGTGATTTGATAATCCTTATACATTCTCTTCAATATTTCTACAGTCGCAGAATGATCAGCTTTACCATACCCCTGTAGGAAGGAAAAATATTTATTTTTATTAGAGTACCACACTTTCTTTCTCTAATAAACTCAAGTGTCTTACACAAATTTCCTCTTTCCCATGCTATCCTTAGAATGACGCTGTAAAATGAGAGAGGTTAATTGGACCAAGCTTAATAAAAGCTACTGGGCAAAGACCAGTTAAGGAATTTCATGGCTCAGTGGACACTTCACCCTGAATCTTCCAAATTCTAATCCAGCATTCTGACCACTATACCATAAGAAGTCATTTATTTCTCTTTATTTCCAAAGAGAAAGGTATGTACGAGGTTCTCATTAAAATCTGTCCAAAGTCTTATAGAAACCATTTGCAATGTTTATAAGGATCTGGAACCTCCAAAAAATTTGGTCTGCAATTCCCATCAGTTGGCAGAACAGCCAACAGTGAAGAATGCTGGGATCTAGAGTCTGATAGCATTCGGAGGGCAGCATGACTCCTAACTCTGTTTTAATTAATAATGAGGATCATATCATAATTTGGATCAGATAAGATCAAATGGCCACTATGTTACACAAACAAGAAAATCTCTACCAAAAGAAGCTTAATGAGCACAAATCTGAATTAGAAATGGCAAGACCAAAAACCAGTTGTAGAACATTTCAACCTTCCTTGAAATACAAGAAGGAATTAACAAGTATTGCTCTTTGAACAATGGATTACAAAGGAAGTCTAGAAGTGGAAACAATCAAGTTGAATTATATTCAGAAATTCCAGTCAATTTGTAGACATGAACGAAGACCAGACTGCACCTATGTATATAATAAAAGTGAACGTATGTATGTGGCAGCAGAGTATGTTTAAAGCAGCTTTCCTATTGGCTCCCACTTCCAAAGACCACTCTGACTCCCACTAATAACGGATCTAGACTGAATTTGACATACAGAACCTCCAGGACCAACATAACATACTGGAGGGGTTTGGGGGGACTGACCCACCCGGCCGAGCGTTGTAGTTCACCCTGCACCCAGAGAGCACTCTGAAGCCCTCCATTGATGGATCTGGAACAAACTTGGCATACAGAACCTCATGACCAACTAAACATACTGTTTGCCATATATATGCTGTGCTCCGCCTTGAGTCCCCTTTGGGGTGAGAAGGGCGGAATATAAATGTTTTAAATAAATAAATAATACTGGAGGGCTTGGGGGGGGGGGAACTGACCCACCCGGGTGGGAGTTATAGTTCACCATGCATCCAGGAAACACTCTGAACCCCAACAATGACAGATCTGGGCCAAACTTGACACACACAACTCTGGTGACCAACATAGCATACTGGAGGGGTTTGGGGGGCTGACCCACCCAGTTGGGAGTTGTAGTTCATCCTGCATCCAGAGAGCACTGAACCCAGCCGATGCTTGATCTGGATCAAACTTTGGTACAGAGACCCAACATAGCCGGCTCTAAATACAAGTCGGGTTTGAGGGTGATTGACCCCCGATTTTGGGAACTGTAGTTCACACACATCCTTATGCCGCCCTGAGTCCCCCTTGTGGGAAGAAGGGCAGAATAGAAGCATATGTGAGCATTCATAAAAAATAAATAAAAGCTAAGACTGGCTTTTTCTAATAAATAGCATTACAAATTACTTAACCCAGGCATCGCCAGGTACCTGAGCTAGTATATTAATAAAAGAGCCCTCACAATGACATATATAACAAAAGGAATATTCTCAGAGCATAGTTGCTACATATAGTGGTGAGCACTTTCAATATCACCTCTCGTTCCTAGTGAAACTGCACCAATTCCTCAATCCATCTTCCCACAATCATACATCTGCATACCTTTGTAACCCTTCCTTCCTGCACTACTGCTGTCTCTTAATGTTTTATTATATTTTTAATTTCAGCCCAATTGCATGATTCCAGCATTTTTAAAAAGACGAATACAGTCAGCTCTCAATTACCGCTAGGATACAGGTAATATTGTACTGTTTACAAAAGTGGAAAAATTGCACGTATCTCTAGGAGCAGGCACCACCACTGTGTCCTTGGGGGGGGGGGGCTATTTAAAAAACCTAAACTCTTAAGCATTGGAACTACAAAATACTTACTGTAGAAAGTCCAAATACACGTATTTTCTTGTCTTTGCTATTATGCTCTATTTTTCCTCCTCCAAGACATTTGCATACAAAGCCCAGCTTTTCCATTTCTGGATTGACTTTTTCAAATATATGATCTGCAAAGCAAAACAGAACTATCAGGCAGGATGCTTAACACCACCCTGGATAAAGAAAACACAACATTTTTTAAAAGACTATGAGAAGCAAAAACACATGATTTTGACAATAGCATCCATGTAATTTATACAAACTTTTAAAAAATATATATTGTGTTTCTATCCTGCCTTTCTTCAAAAAGCACTCAAATATCACTAGAAACAAATTATTCAATACATACACACTCAAAAAACTAATAATGTAGAAAACACCTAACAACACAAAGAACAAGGCACACATAAAGAAAGAAAAACAGAAACAAGTGATAAACACTGTTATCGAACACAGTGGTTCCCTGAGGGCTCCACAGTCACTCCAGGAAAATAAAATCAATAAAAATGGGATGAAATTAAAGAATAAGAAAAAGTTATGTCTCCAATGAGGCCTACTATTGTACTACATGGCATTCTAGTTCTGTTGTGATACAAATGGATTGATTTATTGAACTTCGGAAGAATGGTAATGTATGGCCATGTTTTGACAATATCTTGTGAATTGGTGGGCAGTTGAGAATATATTTATTTATTTATTTATGACATTTCTATCCCGCCTTTCTCACACCCGGAGGGGACTCAAGGCTGCTTTACATACAGGCAACAATTTGATGCCCTAAAACACAATGTACACTTAAATAAATATTAAAATAAAATTAAAAAGTCTTTTAAAATAATTAAAATAAATTTAAAAATAATTTAAATTTAAGAATAATACATTCAGGGTTAAATTGAGATATTATGGTAAATTTCAAAGTTTTCAAAATATAATTTCATTGCATAGACGTTGCACAATTGTTTAGATCTCTTTACTTAACATTCCCTTACTATCTTTCCCCTCTTCCTCCCCCCCAACTCTACTCTTAAACACCATTAACATGTACGAAGGAAGGGAGGCCTAAGGGGCTCTGCCAAAGAAACCAATTCTGAATAGGGCTCTGCAAGTCAAAAAGGTTGGTCTCTGACATAAACCCAGCCCACCTTACAAAAAGTACCACTACAAAGCAAAGCTGTGTGCGTGTCCATGCATGTATACACATCTTTATCCAAGTGTGTGCATGCATATATACATATGTGTATATGTGTGTACATGTGTGCATGTATGTTTGTGTATATACGTATATATGTGCATGTATATGTGCATGGGTATGAGCGCATGTATGTGTATGCATGTACGTGTGTGCACATGTACGTATGCATGTATGTGTATGCACATGTTTGTGTGCTGTGTGTGCATGCATATATGTGCAGGTGTTTGTGTGTATATGTGTGTGCATGGATGTGTTTATGTATGCATGTGTGCGCACATATATGTATGCATGTGTGTTTGTGTGTATATGTGAGAATGTGTGTGTGCATGTATATGTATGTGCACATATATATGTATGTATATGAACGTGCCTGCATGTATAGGTGTGTGCATGTATATGTATGCATGTGTACATGTGTGTGCATGTGAATGTGTCTGTGCATGTATGAGTGTATATATCTATGTGTGCATGTATATGTGTATATATCTATGTATGCATGCATGTATATATGCATGTGTGTATGCATGTGAGTGTTGTGTATGTATACACATGTACATCCATGCATGCATGCATATATACATGTGTGTGTAGATGTGTGTATGTAGGTTTGTGTATATATATGTGCATGTTTATGTGCATGGGTATGTGAGTGCATGTGTGTGCACATATATGTATTCATGTGTGTGCAAATTTGTGTGTGCTGTGTGTGTGCATGCATATTTGTGCATGTGTTTGTGCATATATGTATTTATGCATGTATATGTGTATGTATGTTTGAGTGTGTGTGCATGCATGTCTTTGTGTATATGTGAGCATGTGTCTGTATGTGCACATATGTATATATGCTTGTATATGACTTTATCTGCATGTATGTGTGTGCATGTAAATGTGTCTGCATGTATGAGTGTATGCATGTGCGTCTATGTTTATATATACTGCTGGAACATGGCCATACTGCCCGAAAACCACACAACAGTCGTTTGTGTGTGTGTGTGTGTGTAGGGGTGGAGCTGGGTTAAGAGTGAGTCCAGGTGAGTTTGCACTATTTCCCAGTTAGAAGGAGAAAGCCCCCATCTTGTCTTCACACCTTTCCCGCTCATTCGGTCATCTGAGGCAAAATATGAAATAACCCTTCTCTGGGCGAGTGAGTGCCCGGATGTCCTCCTCCTCCTCCTCCCCTGAACATTGGCTCAGAAGCGGCCAGCGTTGGGGAAGCGAGCGCGTGCTGGCGCCTGCGGGCTCCCCCTACTGGCCGAGGAAAGGGAGCCAGAGACGCGCCTGTCCCGAAGGCGGGCTCACTCACTGTGGAACTCGGCGGCCGCGGTGCCCCGGACGATGTCGCGGTGCTCCTCGCTCCCCCCGCCGCCCCCGCGCTGGACCCTCACAAGGATGTACTTGAAGGTCCCCTCGGCGTCCAGCTCCACTTCTGGCACCGCACTCAGCTCCGCCGCCATGGCTTCGCCTCGCGAAGGACGCTTTCGGGTCGCGGCTTCTGTCGAACTCAGCCTTCAGGCGTTCTGGACTTCAACTCCCAGAAGCCTCAGCTCCCTCGCTCAATGGCCGGGGATCCTGGGAGATGAAGTCCAAGATCCAACCAGGCGCCCCCTCCCTGTTTGGCCTCCAAAATAAGGCAAGGAATTCAAGGAGGGAACAGGAGCGGCTGCCTTGCGGATGACCCCATTCGTCATCATTATCCTCAGGGAATCCAGCCTCCAAAGAGTGTCGAAACTAGCGAGTAGCTCCCATTAGTAGCTCCACATGGAGTTGCCCAACTACTACGAGCTAACTACTACCAGTTGCCTAACTTCAGACTTTTCGACTCACACTCCCCAGGTGGGTGACATTAATCCAGAAATTTCCAAAATAAAATGGATCTCTTGCTTGCCATGTGTTTCTACTGTCTCAGGCCCAGGACAACAACAACAACAACAATAATCTATATAAATAAAAAATGTAATGTTCGTTTGTGGGATTAACATAACTCAAAAACCACTGGACAAATTGACACCAGATTTGGACACAAGACACCTATTAGGCTACTGAGTGTCCATCACCCCTAAAACGCACACAAAAGACCCAGCAGAACAGACTTTAAAACCCCCAAAATAAACTATGTATAATGTATTGTTGAAGGCTTTCATGGCCGGAATCACTGGGTTGTAGGTTTTTTCGGGCTATATGGCCATGGTCTAGAGGCATTCTCTCCTGACA